GGAGAGTGAGGAAATTCACCAGACCCAGAGCAGGGAATAGAACAGGCAGACTGACGAAATATACTGCTGAGGGGAGCAGCGGGCATGGCAGGAGAGGTCTGTGCGCCATCTGGGACCCTTGCTGATGGGTGGGGGAACAAATTGGCACTGCGGAGGCTGCGGGCCGCCTAGCAGCCCACTGTTCAACTGCTGTGCCACCAGGGGAGGCCCTGCATCTACATTTTTTATTCAAGCTAGCTATTTAAGTAACACATATCGTATGAACAGAAGGGAGTTGTCTCAAGAATGTAAGCTAAAGGACAGGAAATGAAAAATGAGAGAATTCAGTGCACAATCCTTAAGTGAACTCGCCAGGGCTGCAAAATAATCCCAGTGCCAGTTACATTTTTCTGATGTCCAACTAGAACATGTTTTACAAATGAGAAAACTAAAATTAAGATTGAAATTAAGAAACATGCTTAAGGCCCCAGGGACAGTGTGTGGTGGACCGGACTATCTATTCATGGCAGTTTCTCCTCACCATTAGCATCACTCAGTACTACAGATACAGCTTCTCCTATTTGAAAAAATGAGGAAATGGATGGTCAGAGAAGTTAAGGGCTGGCCCAAAGTCACAAAGCTAGTAAGTTAGTACAGTTAATATCTGGAATACAAAATGTATTACCCACTGGGCTTGAATAAGACCTAAAACATGCTATAGTCGTGAGTCTGAAAGATTACAAAATCTTCATATGGAAAATCTGGTCTTAGACCATAGGAAGTCTTCAGTGAATACTAGAATCTCTCTCTCTTTCTCATGTTCAAATCATACTTCATTAAATAATCCCTTTTCTTGTCTTTTCCACAATATTCTGAAAAATATTTGCTAATATCTCAATAGTTATTAAGAGACACTTCCCACTGCTCTTAAAAAAATAAATATCTTAGTAGAAGATTCAAGCACTGTAAAACATAGAAAGGTGTAAACAAGCCTCTTCTATAAATAGTTCTTGTGATATTCTAGATTACCTGCCAGCCATAAAGCTCTCTTTAATATATCTAAAACACCCTTGCACTCAAAGATGTATGTATCAGTTGTTCCAAAAGATAACTAGCTTTACTACCTTTTAAGGAATGAACAATGCCTTAATGATATGGCTAGTTGGAATAATGCTTGGGGATATGGTTTGTGAACTTGATTCAGAGGAGCTCTGATTTTTGTCAGTGACATCTGAAATTTGAAAGATTTTTAACAGAGATTCCAGGAAACTCAGATCTCTGACTGCACATTGGAATACAAGTGCCTATCATGGTGCTGATTCATGTTAACTGAAGTGAGCTTTGTTTTGCCACATATATTACATGATTATCTGCGTTCTCCTCCATATATAAATCAAGAGAGACATAGCAAACAATGGCTAAATATAAGTCCTAAAACAACATAGGAATAGGAAAAAAATAAATGCACAAACAAATAAAAGACAATGAAGCCTACCTTAAAGGAAATCTAAAAAAGCAACAGGCTATGGAGTAAAGGGTTTAGGAGAGATACTTCAAATGGGGAGCAGGAGGGTTAGGGTAAACTGGTAATATAGTAATATATGGCTATACATGCAAATAGTGCAATGTAGATGCATATGGTGATATAAGACTAGAAGAAAGAGATTGTTTTTCAAGTCTGAAGGATGGCGAAACTGCTGCAATAATCACCTGGTAGAAAGCAGCACTCTGTTACTTTTAAACTCCAAAAAAAGTTAACCATCAGTAGAGAAAGAAGTAGTCACTTTTTTACTCTGAATTTTCCCTTTCCTGCTACAAATGCCTTGCTGAGTAATCAAGGCTACCCTCATTTTTGTAAAGGAGAATTTAAATCCATTGAAACAGATACCCCTAAGTGGCAACCTGGTCAAGAGGCTAACTCAGTGGTGCACTGTCACTAACAATAGCAACATGAGATAAAAGACAGTATATAACCTAGGCAGCAGGCAGAATACCAAAAGTCAGACACAGAACGAAGATGAAAAGAACCATCACTGTACTATCCTCATTATGTATGTCAAATATGGCTTGGAAATGTGCAACTGTGTGAAACTTAAGGGCTCACTCTTGAATTGTAGTTGTCATAACCAAACAGCTGAAGATGGAAGCTGCTGCTTTTCTTCCTGGAGGGGCTGCTACTACGAGGTTAGTGTCCTTGGTCAAAATTATGTGCCCAGAACCACCTACTATTTTTTCTACCACAAAATAATGAGGCTGGTAAATATCTACATTACAAATAGAATCTTGGGGTATGCCTGCTAACAATGAAGATTGCCAGGTCTCACCCACAAAGATTATAAATCAGTAGATATAGAGTAAAAATTGAGAATCCACTTCTTTTTAAGACCAGAATTGGGCCTCGCCTGGCGGCGCAGCGGTTAAACACTGAGCTGTGAAGCTGCCCGCAGCCTCTGCAGTACCAGTTCGATCCCTGGCCGTCAGCGAGGGTCCCACATGGTGCAACAGACCTCTCCTGGAATGCCCGCTGCTCCTCTCAGCAGTGTATTTCGTCAGTCTGCCTGTTCTGTTCCCCACTCTGTCTCTGGTGAATTCTCTCACCCTCCCTGACTGTACCCAGTGCTTGTATAAATAAATAAATAAATCTTAAAAAAAAAAAAAAAAAAAAAAAACAGACCAGAATTAATTTTCAGGTAGGTAGTATAAGAATCACACTTGAAAAACACAGATTAGACAAATTTCGATACGCAGGCTTGATGTAAAAGGCCAGTTTTCCAAACTTTAGGATCATCGAGGGTTTTTGTGTGTGTGTATATGGTTGCTGTCTTTAGTCATTTTACATTCCACAAAGGATTTGAAATGGCTCACTAATTCATATTGGGGAAATTCTGTGATCAGGCTGGAAATAATTGGAAGATGTCTAAAACAATATAATCTGCTGAAAAAAAAACACTAAATTATTAAAGAAAGAATGTATTTAATGGAGTAAATTCAACAGCTAAATTCAACAGTTCATGTAGGACCACTAGATGCCAAGAATTCCTCCATTACTGTCCCCATCGAAGGTAAAAAAACCTTAGATAACAAACCTTAGGTAACAAAATCTTTAGCCAGATAAATGGAACATCAAAAACTAGTTATTATTGAAGTCAGAGAATCTACAACTGTCATGCTCAGTCCTGCCTCACTTGGTACTTGTTGAGATTTTTAAAAATTACTTCATTATTTTGATTGAAATATTATAATACCATGAAATGTACCACTTTAAAATGTATGGTTCAGTGTTGCACAACCATCACCACTGCCTAATTCCACAACATTTCATCACTCCAAAAAGAAACCCTAAGTTATTACTGCTCACCACTCCCCTCTTCTAGGGTCTAGAAATTACTAATCTACTTTCTGTCACTTTTCTATGTCTGATTGAATAGGAAATATTTTTAATGCCTCCTTCTGAATTCTGAAACAAAATTTTGAGATCACTTAATTTATATAGTCCTATAAATCTTAGATATGTTTGATATGTACATTTATGAATATGTGCTTTCCAAATTATATGATTTGTACATTCTTCTGTGTTACTTGTCATGCATCTACAGCGTTACTTTCAGTGACTGAAAGAAATCCTTCAAATAGATACATCACAATGCATCTAACTTACCTGTAGTTTTTTCCAATTTTCATTTGAATATGGGGAGAGGAAGGATTAGGTTCAAAACAAGGGGGGGGTGCAATTGTATGGGGAATATAACCAAAATGAAAATGCATATATTGTGCAAAAATGAAAAAATGATGAAATAATTATATAAAATAAAATATTAAAAAAAGAAACCAACAATCAGATGTAAAGATTTGTGTTTTGTATTTAAATAATTTCACAAACAAGCCACTCATAATATGTTCTTTCTTAGTATCTACATATTTAGAATCTTGACAATGGGAGTGAACAGTGGGGTAGAGGAAAGCTGTCACTATCACATCATGTGTGGGAGCAATCAGAAGAATCAGAAGTCGAGCTTTTATCATAGGAATTTGGTAGCAGTCCCTACAGGACATTCGTTTCTCTGAAGTACTTCCCAGAAATTCTGTTACAAAGTTCCACAGCAGCTGTGTTAAACATTAAAGCCATATGCAAACCAAGATCAAAAGAGAACTGTTTATGTGGCATTGTTTGGTTCCATGCATTACCTTTTCCAGTCACAGCCAGTCTCAGAGTCATAAAACCTTATTTTGCCAAGTATAACATTAACACCCAGTTTGATTTGCTCCTGATTTCTAGCACTAGAAATAATAATCTTTTCTATGATTTAGACTTAGGACCTAACTGCATAGAAATCTGCATATGTATGAAGAGGGCTGAAACCCAACCTAAGACTCATGCAGGATCTTATTCTTCTATTTCACTTTACTGGGGAAGCAGAGACTAACCTAATAAATCCTCCTTTCCTCTTTAGCACACTTAAAAACCCATTTTTGAGCTCCACTGACTCCATTAGTTTCAAACTTTGCTATTAAATACAAAGGGAGGAAAAGAGTAGGTGTGTGGGTGGAGAGGAGAACAGGGAAAAGCAGAGGGAGTAAAGGGAGGAGACGGGGCTACCACATCAGTTAGGCCTTCACTCAAAAATGATGAGGGAAAATTCAACTGTGAGAAGAGCCAGATGGCAAATTAAAGATGTCCTGGCTGAAAATGGGAACACAAATCTACCCTGGGTACATGTGCTACGTGCTAGACCCTACCTTAAACAAAGGTTTTTGTCCAGTTTTTGTTTTAGGACTCCCTGATTTAGCATTTACACAATAACAATTTTACCACAAAAGGTAAATGTCTTGTAAACTAATGGGAAACATATTGCTTGACATAGTTTATAATGCCAGGATTTATAACTCCAACGCTGAGGGTCTCTCTGACCTCGAAGATAACATAATGAAACAGCTATGTGCTATAAATGACTAGGTGTGATCTTTTTATTAGTTCCCATAATTGCCCCTTATTAATTTGTATGCACATAATAAGCACTCACCTTCACAGTCTGTCCGGCTTCTGGGCCATCCTAGATATAGGGGGAAAAAAAAAACAACAAAAAAACCAAAGGTGAGAACAGATAGATGGTATCTCCTGCTTATTCAGAAATATCACCCGTTAATAATTTAGATCCAATTTCATTGTGTGTTAATTTATAGTATTCTCATGGGGAACATTGACTTCAAATGTATGGGACCAGACCAGTTCTCCATTTCCGCCTCTGAGTGAGAAGTTATGTATAAAAATGATATATATTATTCAGTGAGCCAACCCCCTTGCTATTTTTTATGCTCTTTTCTCTTGGCTATGGTTTTAATTGCATTAAAGAAAGGCTGAAAACACTTGGGGAGGTGAAGCATCATACCTTTTGGTTATCTTTAAATCAGATGTAGTTTAATTAATGTATGATTACTTTAAGTCTCAGGAAGTCTGTTGTAAACATAATCTAAGCAAGAATATGGGCTATCCCATATGGAAACAGCATCTAAGAACAGTCCTCTTGTCTGTTCTGCCCTTTGTGAAGAAAGGTGGAGCGTTCCCTATAGCTGGGCTTTTCCCAGTCTTGTTTCCTTTTCGAGGTTTTTCGAAGTCCAACAAAACTAATAATTAGCAAACTTGTCTGGTTACAAGTCACAACACAAAGTAAAAAAAAAAAAAAAATGTTTAGTGGTTTGGGAATACCAGGATCAGTAATGTTGCTACAATCAAAAATTCCAAAATTGAATTATTAATAGAACTCTGCAAATTTAAGCAAGTTAGTCTACCTCTATGACCCAACTAATGGGGGGAGGTGTGAATTCTTGCCCTTCTGTGGCCAGGAATAAGAACTGTATTATTAGTGGGTCAATGAAATCAACTTAATGGGTTGTGCTCAACACTAAAAACAAAATAAATCAGATAACAGAACAAAAGCTATCAGTGGATAGAATGGGTAAGCATTGTTTTGTAAAACTTTGGTTTCTTTACTTATATATGTGCACTTGTGTAATAGATGGGGGAAGTATTCATGATTGTGAAATAAAAACTATTTGCTATGGGTTAATTTTTTTTTTAAAGTTTGAAAACTGCATGTATAAAAGTATTCTAAAGTGCTATGCCCAAGTCAGATCTATATTTATGGAATTAACTTTCTAGAGTTAATTTTATATAGTTAATTTCTATATCATTTTATATAACCAGCACTGCCATTTTCTAAGGATGTGGATTTTTTTTTTATAAGCTAACTCTAACATTTATTTATTTATTTATTTATTTGTTTGTTTATTTATACAAGCACTGGACACAGTCAGAAGCACTGGAGGGTGAGAGAATTCACCAGAGCCAGTGCAGGGAGCAGAACAGGCAGACTGACGAAGTACACTGCTGAGGGGAGCAGCGGGCAGCAGGAGAGGTCTGCGCGCCAATTGGGACCGTCTCTGGTAGCCGGGGATCAAACCTGCGCTGCAGAGGCTGCGGGCAGCTTCGCAGCCCAGCGCTCAACTGCTGCGCCACCAGGGGAGGCCCAGGATGTGAATCTTCTAGTATTTCACTGAACACTGATAGATGCCTTCACCTACTTGTCTTCATTTGTTTTCTCTGGAAACATAATTTACAGCGTAAAATTGATTTTATGTTTAATGCCCAAGTTTAACCACTTACTTAAAGGTGAGTCCAATGGACTGACATAACAAGCTTGCGCATGCATGTGCGTGCACAAACACATACACTTTATTTTATAAAATTCAAATGCATTCAACAGAGATGGTGGTAAATTGTTTTTTTTGAGAAGCAGATAAATATTTTTAGTCAAATGCTTTCATACTCTGAAAACAATGGATTTCTTTACATTTCCTCTTTGAAAGTCTCTGGTGGGGAACTGAGGAGTAGAGAAGACAGATAGTAAATCTTAATTTAAATTAAAACACTAAGTATAATATAAGGTCTCATACAATGAAACAATTCATTTCTTTCCAAAGGGTTACTGAAGAGTTATCAAATTTCAGGCCACTAAGATTTTAATTATGGATTAATAATTCCATCTCTTTCCGTGGAGCTCTGCAGGGGCTTGTAGAATATTACTCTTGATCTACTCAATTTCCACAGCAGATAATCCACCATGGACCTTTTTCTACCACAATAGTAAGTGTGCACTCAGTCTTTGCCTAAAGATCTCCTGTTACTTGGGATCTCATTTCTTTCTTTCTTTCTTTCTTTTTTTTTTTTAAAGATTTATTTTTTGTTTATTTTTTGTTTATTTATTTTTTACATAAAAGAATTGGGTGGAGGCCAGAGGTGTGGTATGTGAGAGAATTCCAGAGACAGAGTGGGGAGCAGGACAGGCAGATCTATTGAAATACACTGCTGAGGGGAGCATTGGGCAAGACAGGATAGGTCTGCTGTGCCAAGTAGGTTAGCTCCCTGGCCAGCCAGCGGGGGATGGAACTCAAGCTGCAGGGGCTGGTCATAGCTTGATAGCACTGAGACTTTAACGCCTGTACCAACAGGGAGACCTCTGGGATCTCATTTCTTAACTGGGAAATAGATTCTAATGAATATTTATATTTAGATAATGAATATTTAATCAATTATGTACCTTACCAACCTATAAGCAATCACTGAGGCTTAAATTAAAGATAGCGAAAAAGTGAGCCCTCTGGGGGCAAGGCCCTGCCTCTCATGCTCTGAAAATAGAGGGAATTTAAGCTCATGCTCGAAACATATTTAACATGGAATTAAAATGACTTTTCCAGGCCCGATTCTAGTAAAAGATTTGGAATGTCTTACTGCCTGTTAAACCACTGTCCATTATGCTGCCTGCTTCGTAAACAATACTGCAACATCCCATCAGCTGATATTCCATTGTCACCTTGGTGCCAGGGCACAAGAGGGCTGTCCTCCTTCAGTAATGTCTTTTTCTGCTGTTACGTAAGACACAGGCATCTACAGTTGCCTTCCCAGTGAGACACAGGTTAAAGCAGGGGAAAGCCCAATATTAGGATATGAAAGGAAGAAAAATATTGTTTTGGAATCCGTACACTCACCTGCATGGAAAAGGTTAGAGATGTCCCCTGGAAATGCTTCTCCACCACCATCCCGACTCTCTGGGTTGCCTGAAACAGATCAGCCACTTCATCGGGACGTAAGTCCCTGAAACGCTCCACTGGCCGAAGGGGACACACCAGGACATCTGCAGTCATATCTGTTAAGGCACATTCTGCTTGCTCTGGGTAGCATTTTTATCATGCAGTACATACCCCCAGAATTGAATCCCTTTGGCCCTTCTAAAAGACTAATAAACAAATATTTACCAACTACCCAAATCCAAAGAATTTAAAGAGCTTACGAACAAGTTCAATGATACTTTGAAGAAGAAGATACGGTGTGCTGAAGAAATTCTAAGACCAAAGGACTTCACTGTTCAGAGAGACTTAAGTGCTTATTAAGATATGCCAAGAGACAAGATCTATTTTTGACTGCTGTCCCTGATCCCTGTTCTAATGGCCTGTGTTCTCTATCAGCAGAAGGCACTGGGAATGCTATGTAGAGCATCATGATTAAATTTTTAATTTCAAAGTATCTTTAGAGAAATATGCAATGAAAATATGATAGTTGTTGCTTTATCATATTTTTAAAAGGAATGGAGGCATGCTGAAATGTCTAGTAAACTCCATTTATAACCAAGAGATATGCCATTTGGTTAAGCAATTTATACAAGGGTTCTTCAGAATGATCAAGACAGGTGAAGGTAGATCATTAATTTAAGAAAGGGATTGTCTGTTTATGCAAATGAATTCATCTTAATGCATTCTACAAGTTAGACAAGTCAACATTTACATTAGTGGTGGGAGCAAACAAGGTCTAGAGAAAAAGGATTTAAGTTTGATCATTTGTTAGTAGCAAATTAATATTCAGTGCTACATCATCAATAATGTTTCAGTTCCTTTTGGCCTTTCTACTCATCATCCATGTGTATTATACACACACACAGCAAATATTAATTTTTGTTTAGTTTTCAGGTAGAAAAGCAGGAGAAAAGAGAGCTCTAATGTTCTTTTCTGTTTCTTTCTTTTTTCCTTTTTTTCTTGTTTAAGAGAACATGCTTCTGCCTGAAGCTATGCAGCTAAAGGCCATAATAAAACCACAACTCTGCAATTGCTAGTCTCACCAGAATATCAAGCATTTTCACCCATCACACTATGGGGAGAACTTGGGGCCCAGGGGAAATGTGCTGAGCTCAGCTGGGAGGGTCTGATTTCCGTAAAAGAGAGTAGAAAAAAGAAAGAGGGGAAAACTGATTAATTTTGCTCATAATCAGGAAATTCATGTCTATGGTAAACTAGGAAAAGGAGCATTTGTTTAATTTGAGTTCATTTTTCAAGAGAGAAGGGAGGCCTTCACCCACAGGGTATCTGATACTTAAAAAGATAATTATCCTTCTTTGGCAGGGCTGCTTTATTATCATGGGTCAATGAACCGTTTAGAAATGAAGAATTTCCTTTCATTTCCTTTAGCAGATTGCCAGCCTCCACTCCCACTGAGTTGCTTTATCTTTGTTAAAAGAGACCTTTCCCCATACCCCCCCATTTTAATTTACACCCTCCTTTAGGCCCTGACTTCTAAACCACCACAAGATGACAATTTTGCAAGCTTCCAATAATATCTATAATTGTTATGGTAGGCTATGTCTGCACGCAGGGACTAGGTGAAGAAGGAAGAGAATTTTAGTTAAATAATGACTCTGAAAACTGGTAGAATCCAACAATCTTTGCATCTATTATAACTTCAATAATGTCAGTGATTTCTGAAAGGTTTTTTCAATATCATGAAAATTGTTGTTATCTATCCACTTTGCTTATCTGTTGCTAAGGATTGACTTGACTGAATGTTTAATGAATCAAAATCTTTATGGAATTGACTCAAATGGTTGAATCTGTCCAATGCTTTAACTTGTGTACATACAATGGCAGGGCCAAATATCACATACATTTATCATAATAACTGAACATTACTAACAGTCACACAAGACTTTATAGAATAAACAGATTAAACACATTCTCACTTAGGTGAATATTTTCCATCAGTTCTTTTAAGCAACAATGTCCCAACATATATCCCCAGCAATCCAACCCTTTGGGAAAAAACAACTATATATATATATATATATATATATATATATATATACACACATATACATATATATATGTTATCTATTTATCTATCTATATCTGTGAATCCACACAAACACATGCTTGTTTTCAAGTAAGATGAAATAGATAACTTTAATAGTTATCTATTAACTAGTTATCTATTAAAATACTTTACTGACATAACACTGTATGACTTACATACACTGTATATATTTCAGGGGCATAGGATCACAGATGCATGTAACCACACCACACTCATCACCATGGCCCCCACAGTCCTCCACTACAGTCCACAGAAACACCTCCACATTTGTTTTCAAACTGTCCCCCTCTTGTAGCCTCAATTTCACAGTCAGATTTCTCACATTAGCCTCAATTTCACAGGCAGTTTTTATTGTTTTGGTTTTATCTGACAAAATAGAGAGAACTTTTAAGGGCACTTATAGGACAATTGTTCTTGTGGGCAATCATTGTCTATTCTATTGGATGCCCAACCAGATATTTAAACCTGGAAATGGCCACAGAAGTAATCTTCATAGGACTGCATTGGACTAGTAGGAGGTTGGTGGGTCTGGTGTTACACAGGGTGTTGTGTTGATCTGGACAACCTAACCAATGTTAGGCACTAATTGGCAGTCAGAAGTTGGAATCAACCATCTTCACTCAGATTCCTTAAACAGGGCAGAATAGAGCCTATGCATTCACCTTATCACAGGCTACATCCTGACTGCTGCCTCTTGGCCACCAGAGCATCCATTTCTACTTCCACTCTCTTGCATCGTGCACACCATGCATCTACCACACTTTCCTTCTTTTCTTCCAACATATTGTGCTCCTTCCCAGATCTGAAGCCTCTTTCACAGCTTTAAAAGCCTTTGTCTGTGGGTTTTGCCTAGAATTCAAGTCTTCATGATTATCACTTGGCTGTTTGTTCCTATCATTTAGACTCCAATGCTTATGACACTTTCTCAAAGCAGCATTCCATCACCCCCCATTTCAAAATGCTACTGGGTTACTCATTCTTACTTTACCCTATTTTCATTCATTCCATTGCACTTGCTACCAGCTGGCAATTTTCTTGGTTGGCTGCTACTTACCTGAATAAGAATGTAAGACCCACAAGAGCAAATGCTCTCTTATTTACTGCTATTTTACCACAGCCTAGAATCCCAGAGACACATAGTAAGTGTTACAAGAAACTGACAAAATGAAGACAACATTCATTTACTTTACAATCACCTATATAAGATTGGGATAGCCTGAAAGTTTTTTTTTTTTTTGTCCAAATCAAAGAGATTTATTTTTAATATCCAGCATAGTTAGAACTAATATTGGATGTGAGGTCAACACAGGCAACTACATTTTTAATATAAATTAATTTCCATCTGCACTCAAAGGAAATATATCTATGAAGGTAAAATTCTTTTAAAAAATCATTGTATAACTTGAAAGATTATTCAGAGTCTTTGATTATTCAGGCTTACATAAACACTATCTATAAAAATGATGTTTTATATTGTGACCAGGAAATGTTTTTCATTGTCCATTCAATGAACTTTGAGCACCAGTTAAGTTTAGACACCATGCTATTTTCGAGAGTAAGAAGCTATTCCTGTGCTTCCAGACCAGGATATAGGCATAGAAGGAGATAACTGCAGTATTATAGGAGGTGGAAATATAAGCACACAGGGCTACAGAAGGACAGTGCAGCATCCAATGCAGAGGGAACCTGGGGTGCCTTAGTAAAGCAAGAGTTCTAGGATAACCCTGGATCACCTCTAAGTAGGATTAATTATCCCATGGCTTGCTGGAAATATAAAAAGTTTCATGAAAAGTTTTAAGCAGGTCAATAAACATATTAAGTTGTTTTTTTTTTTCCTGACAGATGTTAAATATTTTAGGTTTGTTGGACAATACACTTAAGCAGCCATAGGCAATATGGAAACAAATAGGTGTGGCTATATTCCAGTAAACCATTATTTACAAAAAGAGAAGAGAGCCAAGATTTGGCCCATGGGCCTTAGAGTGTCAACCCATTAGAGGAATTACACAAGGAAGAGGTAATTAAAGGAAATTGGGAATATTTGGGGGTCTCATTCACTTTCTAGAAGTTGAGGACTACAATGCTAACAATAGCATTTTGGACAGAATCATTACTGTATATTAAAAACAATCTACTTTCTAAGAAAAATACAAGGGAATAGAGCATTTCTATGGCCCTGTGAAGCACTTTTGATGCTTTAAAGACTAATCACGACCAGAAAAATTGTTATGGGAATGACATCATAAGTATTCTCTGCTGCAATTAAAGGAGATTCTGTAATCTCTCGCTGGAAAAACAAAGCATGATCTTTGAACATTTTGAAGCACCAAAACAGAATATTATTCACAAATACATCTGAAATTAAAAGTATTTTTTTTAAATAGTGCACAAGCCTTGGAAGAAAATAGCATATTGTCTAAAGATGGAGGGTATCACACACTACATGTTGTTCTTAGGGAAATTCGGGGAAAGCAAATTAATTTTGAAGAACAGCAGACAGCTCCTATAATTCTACCACTAGTATTTATATGCCAATTGTTTTAAGATAGTATCATAGACACAGAATAATTTAATTTGGAGATTCTTAGGCCTTGTTAATTGACAAATCCCATATTATACAATGGCTATAAGAACACAAATTCTCCTGATTCCTCTTTGTTTGTAAGTAACACCTCTGAAGACACTATTTGCTGTGATCCTTAAAGTAATAAATCTATACAATTAAATGTAACATATGACTATGCAGTATTCATCATTTGTGAAAGAAATTATCAAATGGGATTTGGACTCTCCCTATAATCTAGAGCAAAGTGATCCATTCAGTAATAACATTTTTTTTTTTTTAAGAAGGCCAATAATTATGATTTAGTTCCTATGTCCAATGAAATACCTTATAATAGCTGGAATCAATGACTTCTTAATGTCGGTGATATTTAAAGTTGATTTTACAAATAGGGGAGTAATTCAACTAGTGGGTTAGCTGGAAACCATCCATCC